CAGTACCTTTGTGGTGTGGGCGACAGGGAGGTAAGACGTCGAGCGGTCCATCCCTGCTCACCTCGTCTTCTCTGGTTACAGAAGGAACGAAAACCTCGTCTTCTACTTTTCGTCAAAACTCTCCTAGTGTTGTCAGCCGGGCCTCTTCTCGGATCGCACACGAGCCTTCTTCTACACTCGTCGGGAACCCCGTCGATCCTCCTTCTCTTTCGCAGCTTTCGTTGTCTTCGACCGTCCGCTGCCCCCGTGTGACAGCACCTGATACGAATGCGTCTTCCTCTGCTGCCCACCACGTGCTGACTGCACCACTGCCATCGGGATCGGATGGTACTGCCCACCATCCTGTGGAAGGTTCGGCTCCTTTGTCAAAGGGGAGTAGTCAAGAGCGCCCTGCGTCAATGATCAAACATCCGTCTGTTGCAGGAATGACTTCTCCTAACGAACGGGTCTCTAATAGCCGAATGGCCTCTGCTAACATTGACCCCGCCGGAGCCGCCGCCCTAAGGCCGCCCTCCGGATCACGGCGCGTTGCGACTTCGCCCGCTCCTGCCTCGCTTTCTGGGTCCTCCCCGTCGGAGAAGAGGACCCGTCCGCCTGGTCCACCCCCGCCTGTGCCTGGTGCCCGCCTCTTGCCCCTTCGCCCTGCACCGGCTCCGCCGTTTGATGACAAGTGCGAGTACGCTTCGGATGACGCTCTTCCTTTCAGAAACCTCCGTCTATGCTCTCGCGATGAACTCCTTCGGCTTTTGACGTACTGGGGGTACGTTATTCATGTGGTGAGCAATTCATGATGTCTGAAAAAGCGAAGTTGTTTAGAGATATGACGTCGAATGACAAAATTATGGCTGCAACAGATCCTAAGACACACAAGGTTTTGGGTGTGCGTCCTTTCGACTATGCTGAATGGGAGCGTCGTCGTGAAGAGATCGTGCTTACGGGGTCGTACGCCAAATTTGCTCAAAACCATGACATGAAACATCATCTACTGGAGACGGGTACCCGCCTCCTTGCAGAAGCCAGCCCCTTCGATCGTGTTTGGGGTATCGGCATGTCTGCATGCTTTCCAGATGCTAGCGATTCATCCAAGTGGGCGGCTAGCGGTAAAAACTTGTTGGGAAAAGCTTTGATGGAAGTTCGACGCCTTTTGCGTGATCATACCCTCTCTGGCGAAGATTTCCCCGCTTCCAATTCTCCCGCGCCCCCCATTTCGCAGCCTCCTCTCCATGGACATCGACGCATTCATGAGGTTGCTACTGCTACAGGTTCTTCGCTACGGAAGGACCCGGGCGAAGACCCAGCT